AAATTGAATTTTGGGAAACTTTAACAGTGCTGCCAATTTTGCAAAAAGTCATCCCAATTTACTGTGTTGACTTGGCATTATACAGAAATGGACAACTATATTGGCCTAGAAATGTTAATTTATTTATTTTTTATTTTTTATTTTTTTTCCATGTATACAGGGGTAACACATCGCACCAAATATGTAAGGTCATATCTACGTGGGCTTGATTACAGAAACTAATAAAGTATTCTCTAAATAATGAAAAAAAAGAATAAGATAAGACTCTAAGAGTAAGAAGCAATTTAAATATGTTCAGGGACCATTTTCATCTCCAGAATTAAGGATTATTTTAATCTTACATCATTGCCTTTTCTCTTTTACTTTCCTTTTTAGTTTTATTTTAGGATTCCCTATTTTTAATGTTCATACAGAGATTTCTTTAACTGAAATACCGAATAGTTTCTTTGGTGTGAAAAACTATAATAGTACACAAGATCCTAATGAGATAATTAATAATGTGAAATAGAAAGTAAAGGGCTAAAGGTGTAGGGAAAGTGGAAAGGGTGGGGGAAAGGTAATAAGGAAGAGGAAAAAAATATGAGAAACTGAAAAAATGGAAATAAAGTATTTGTAAATGGGGAGTGGAGGAGGGGGTGAAGGGAGGGCAGGGACAAGGGGAAAAAATGAGAATCAAGACCTATTATGTAAAGGCACAGAATCCCAATGATGAATATAATTGTATTGTATACCTAGATTGTACCAATAAACTCAATTTTAAAAATTAATTAATTAATTAATTTCACTTTTTACTAAAAATAAATAAAAAATGAAATCATAAACCAATGATCTATGTTTAGAAATGAAAGGTTTCATACAGCCAATATTGAGTGCACACACATTTGGAATATAATATTAACAAGAGCCCTTCTGAGCAAGCTATTAGATGCCAAAAGAAATTTCTGTAAATGGACCAACAACTGATTAAAGGGCAAACAAGTGATATACTCAACTGCAGATTTAAGGCAATAGCAAAGATGAGAATATGAGTGATGAAGTATTACTATATGCTGACAGGATAGGGACAATGTAATCAACAACAAACACGTAAAAAAGTAAGGGGAACAGGAGAAAAGAACAGTAAATAGAACAAGCCTCAGTAGCTGGGAGTCAAAATATTACATAGAGCCGATGAATCGTATACCCAGTACCGAAACAAATACCACCAGCACCAGCAAAGGTTCTGGGTTCAATCAAACACTGGAACACAGGGGGAGGGGGAGACAGGCTACTATTGCTCAGGAGGCTGAAGCAGCAGGATCACTTGAGCCCAGGAATTTGAAAGCAGCCTACGGAACATTGCGAGACCAGCATCAGGAAAAAAGATGGGGTAGAAGGGAGACTGGGGGAAAAAGAGATTGAGATTACTGTTGACCAAAATGGAGGGTGGAAAAAAGACAAGGGGGAAAAAAGGATATGGTAGGAAAACAATAGCTACTTTTAAAAGGAAATGAGATAAAGCCTGGCGTCGTGGCGCATGCCTGTAATCCCAGCACTCAGGAGGCTGAGGCAAGAGGATCGCCCAGCCTGGGCTACATAGTGAGTTCCAGGTCAGTCTCAACTACATAGTGAGACACTGTCTCAAAAAAAAAAAAAAAAAAGGAAATGAGTTATATAAAGGAGGAAATGGTGTTATAAAGGTAACCACTAGAACAAAACAGGATATGACAAGAAAACCTGTGTATATTTTAAAGCAAACAGACCAGCAAAGGAAGACCCTTTAAGGCAGGTGCCTCTGGTCTGCTAAGATGTGTACAGTGAGACTCAGACCTCACTGTAGCCTCTGAGGGAGACACTCTCACCTGTCCAGCAGGTTCTCAAGACTTCTGGTTCTTCAGCCCCTAGAAGATCCAGAACCCACAGCTCCTCTTCTTGCTCCAGCTGGGAGATCAGCTCTGGCTTCGGGATAGGGAATCCTGTCGAGGGTAAGGACCAGGGGTAAGCAGGTGTGGCCTGGGATGAGACACTACTCGCTGGCCTTTAGAGCCAGGTGAGGGAGCTGTCCTCTTCGCAAGGCCCACATTGGTCTGGGGGCCCAAGGGCGGCGATGGGATGTTGAGGGAGAATGCACTCCTCGTTTCCCCTGTGGGGAAGTGGGCATGGCAGGGCCATGCATGATTTCCCTAGCACTGGGCACCACAGCCTATCTCCTACGGGGACACTACTTTGGCAGAGATCGAACTGTTTGGGGCGAATGTGGCACCCTCTTCACTGGGATCCACAGGGCCTGGCAACCCCAAAGCCCCAGGGAGTCCCCGCTGCTAGCCGGGCGCCATGAGGCCCTCACCCAGCGAGGCCACGTTCCCGTAGTTTTCCAGCATCACATCCCGGTACAATGCACGCTGCCCGGGCCCCAGCTGCCGCCGCTCCGCCCGGGAGAAGTACACTGCCACGTCCTGGAAGGTCAGCGGCATCGCTCCTAGGGCAAGCGTCTGGGCGGCTGGAAGGCAGGACAGTCTCTCGCCCTGTGGACCGGATGCCAGACCCCAGCGGCTGTAGGAGGCGGCCCTCCGGCGGGTCGCAGGCTCGGCCCCACACCGCTGCGGGTAGAAGGCCGGGATCGGCTACTGCAGTGGCCTCCAGGCTTACGCCTCACGACACCAGTGTCTGCTCCCGCCGGAGACCTGCGAATCGTGTGCACCCGAGGACTCTGCAGCCTGCAGCCTCGAGCACAGCTGCCGTCCCCGCGTTTGCCACCCGTGCCACAAGAGATCAGCCCGTCTAGAAGTCAGTCAGTGCGGCAGCCGCACTAACAGAGCACGGACAGCTGGGGGCGGGGCCTTCGAGAGGGGGCGAGGTGGCGCCGCCCGGAGACCGGAAGTGGGCTGAAGCCCTATCCCGCGTGTACTTCCGGCGCTACTCTGGGGTCTCCAGGGAACTGCGCGACATTCTGTAGTCAAGGTAGTCAGGGTCGCCTGCCTTCGTTCTGCCAGGCCCCAGCGCATGTCCTTTTTCTTCCTCACCACAGTCGCATGTAGTGTCGTTCCAAAAAAGCACGGTTTTAAACCGAGTGTGGCGGCACCTCTTATTCCAGTACTCTGGGAAGTTGAGGAGGATGTAAACTTTGAGCCCAGCCCAGGCAGCGTAAGGAAACCCGGTTTGCGGAGGGAACCTGGGGATGTAGCTCAGTGCAAAAGTCCTGGATTCAGTAGCCAGTACCGCAGTGGAACGGTTTTAACTACAGGAGCACTTGGTACAGCCATGGAGGCAGCGTGGAAAAAAAAACTGCAAATGAAGCCGAGAATGATCTTGTCCCCCAAATAAGTTGTACACTTTGCTAGAATTAAGACAAATTAACGCTTGAAAAGGAAGACAAGAGTTGTTGCACATAATTTGAAAGTGGCCTTGTAAATGTAGTATTCAGTGCTATAAGGGCTGTCCACTGTTCCTAACCCAAAGAAAAGAATGTTCAGACAGTGCCTTCTAGCAGGGCAGAGGCTGAGGGGCAGTTAGTCAAGCTGGCACTTGCAGGCTTGCGCCTCAGGGTGCTCCCAAACTGCCATTGTAGGGGTGAGGGAAAAATGCTGAGCAGGCAAGGAAGATGAATTAAAAATTGGTTTTAAAAAAAGCTGGTTTTCCTTTTTTTTTGTTTTTTTTTGTTTTTTTTTTTTTTTTTTTTTTTGAGACAGGGTCTTACTATGTAGTTGAGACTGACCTGGAACTATGTAGACCAGGCTGGTCTTGAACTCACAGCGATCCTCCTGCCTCAGCCTCCCAAGCGCTGGGATTACAGGCGTGTGCCACCACGCCCGGCTTTTTTTTCCTTTTTTGAGACAGGGTCCTGCTTTGTATTCCAGCCTGGTCTGCCGCAACCCCCAACGTGCTGGGATATGCCACCATATCTGGCTCCCAAAAACAGTTTTAATACAAAAATATTTTGTGCATTAACACTGGTATGATTTTCTTAAAATTTAATTTTACAGGACTGGGGATTGAACTAGCGCCTTTGAATTAAGTTACATTTCCAGCCCTTTTAATTTTGAGTCAGGGTTTAAGTTGTACAAATTGGGCTCAAACTTGCAATCTTGGGCCAGGGATTTAGTTCATTGACACCGCATCTGCCTGCCAAGTGCAAAGGTTCTGAGTTCAATCCCTGGAACAAAAAAAAAACTTGCAATCTTCCTGACTCAGCCTCTCAAGAGTGCTATAATTACCAGCACATGCACTGCTGTAATTTTTTTAAGTTGGAGGGGACCCTAAGAGAAAGCACCAGGCAGCCCTACTGAGGAAATGACCTAGTAAAGTATCACCCTACCCAGGTGGAGTGTTTTGCATCCACTAAGCACAACTGGTATGCTCAGGAAAAGTCAGTAACAGCACTGTGGGAACAAAGGGAAACAGACAGCAATAGAATGGAGACAGAAGTCAAAAAGCTGTATGACTGCTCGCTTTGGCAGCACATATACTAAAAAGCTGTGTGACTGTGAGGAAAGGGACTTTTTCATTTAAGAAATTTGTTTTTACATTTTTTATTTTTTCCAAATGTATTATAATGAGTACTTAGTCCCTAAACACCTTCTGTGGTTGGAACGGAAGTATATAATATGGAAAACTCCCTCCTGGGTGAGGCAGACACAGGCAATCTGCATGTGTCCTTTTGGCAGTTCTGGGTCTCCTTGTTACCTCCAATGTGGACCCAATGGTCCTGAGGCAAATGAGCTGAGGACCCTAGCTGAGACTAAAGGCACACAGGCACTTGCCACTCAGCCAGGCCTCAGCCACATTTTTAGCTCCAAACACTCCAGCTCCAAAAACACAGCAATCTCTCTGGCAATTCTCCTTGAAGGACAGCCTCTTTTCCCTACTCAGGGCCCACATCTAACTTACATGGCCGTGGCCCTTACTCAGAAAAAAAGGACCTTAATTAGAAGGCGGGAGCCAAAGCATTCCGTCAATGGCCTGTGCAGGTAATGGGCTGGCATGATGCTTGCACCAGGACAAGCACAGCAGGACATCAAGATGGCAACCAAAGCTCATTAGCTGTTTTCATAAATTCCTTTGGCCTATTTATCCCTTGAGATTTGTAACCTGGTTTCCTGGCAGAGAACAGACCAGAGGTAGATCAGGAAAATACAAGAAGCAGGGATACCCTAATGGAAGCTGCCCAATAGGTCTACACAGAGCAGAATCCAAAGCCTGCACCTGGAAGTGGTTACAGTGGAGGCTGCAAAGCTAGCCACAGATCACAACCTCCTTAAAAGCTACCCTAATTGCCAAGTGCACCTGATAACATCCCCTCTATTGAGCTCCCAATCTCCTATACCCTACACACTGTTCCTTACATATAGTATTGCCCTTTTAAAACAATCATCAAAGTACATCCCTCCTCTACTGAAAAGCCACAAAGGGCCCCACTGGCTCAGAATTGAGCCAGTCATTCAAGGTCCTTCAGGCCTGGACCTCTATACCCTTCCCAATTTTATCTCCCTCCACAACATCCAACAAGCATGGCCTCCCTCCACTGGCAGCTTGTGTGCCAGCTGTTCACTCTACAGACTGCACTATGACCTTGCTTCCTTCAGGTCTTTGCTCAGACACCACATCCTAAGAAATCCTCAAGAAATCCCTCACTAAAGCCACACCATGACCCACTTACAGTGGATCCTCCCCCACAACCCCACATCCCAGCACCTGACCTTGCTCTATTTACTGTGTCACCATCCTCTAGCAAGCTGTAACTTATGGATTTTGCAATTTCCCCCCTCTCGCCACGCTACTCAGTTGCCAGCTCCACAAAGGCAGGGATTTAAAACAGAATGAAAATATCCACACCAATAATAGGAAACAAGAAGATAGGTCTTTTCAAATGGGAAGAAGACCAAGACACGGATGGAGGGGGAGGAGGGAAAGGGGGGAATGTAAAACAATAAAGATGTGTTAAGTACACGTAACAAATCCCCACGATGAATGTAATCAGTATGTACTGCAAACATGTACTAATAAAAATTAAAATTAGAAAAAAGTATATAAGAATCACAGAGGGGGCAGGGAACCACTGTTGCTCAAAGAAAAATATTTGTTAAAAAAAAAAGAGTCCAACTATACAAGAATATATACAAGTTCCGAAAGGCTAGTAGCTGAAAAGAAGAAATGAGTCAGGAGTATACCATGTAGTAGAGAAGGCCTTTGCTTTTTGTATTATTTTGATTTTCTTAAAAGGCAATAATGTGGTTATTTTATCATTTTAATGAAACTAAAGTTACAAATGAACCTGTAAAATAATAAAACCCTAAGTTTTTGTTTGCAAAAAAACAAAAAAACAAAATGCCCACACCAAAACATAGGATTTACAAAAGCAATGAGCAGAGAGGGATCAGATGTTGTTTAGGCCAGGCTATGTATGCAACTTCATGATATCTGCAGAGAGCCATGACCTGGACCCTAAAGCTCCACCTGGCCACACATGGCCATACCCAGTAGCAAAGACCAACAGCCATGGAAGAGACAGGTGTGCAGTTTAACATCCATCTACAGAAACATTTTTTGGGGGGGTACTAGGGATCAAATTCAGGACCTTGCACTTTCTAGGCAGGTAGTGCCACTGAGCTAAACCCCAGCCCCCTACAGAAACACATTTTAATAGTTCCTTTTACTTCTATAAGAAAAAAGGCAGGGCCGGGGTTTAGCTCAGTGGTTCTGGCGACTGTCTCGCAAGCGCAAGGACCTGAGTTTGAGCCTTGGTACCAAAAAAAAAAAAAAAAAAAAAAAAAAA